GATGCTACCTGTCACACTCCGTCCCAAGGCAGCGTGCGGGGGGACGTTTGGGAGCCACGCCTGTATGTGTGTGTGGCAGGGAGGGGGGTTGGGGGGTCTGCCTGCAACCGCCTTCTGAACATACGGTGTATGGCTGACATTTGAGACCCAGTTGTACCGTAACCATGACAGCGGCTCGGACAGAATACACTGCTTGCAGGCGACTGTTGGATGAATATTATGTTTTTGTGTGCTTATGCTTGGCTGTGTGGAGCTCTGGGTCTCTAGCTCAATAACAACCCCCCCCCCAGTCTGTCTCCTCGGTCTTTGAGCAGGATATGTTAATAACACCTATCCTCAAGTCTGTTCTCCGCTCTCCACAACCACTCAACCTTTTCTTAAACCCACAATATGTTTCCTTTGTCATCAGCTTCCAGATACCAGAGTGCCGCAACTCAGCCCTGCATCCTCCCTGCTCCTTGTTCTGATCCCAGACCAGATTGCACTCCAGTCGGATGGGGTCCAGCTCTGGGGCAGGCTGGAGGAGTCCCCGCGGTGGTGGCGTGCACCACGGGGGCTATGACCTTGCTCTAGATTTGTCATGGCAACAGCTACTGTTATAGAATTCCCATGGGTGTCCTGCAAAAACCAGGGCAGTGCTACAGGGCACAGCTACAGGGCACAGCTACAGGGCAGAGCTACAGGGCAGCGCTACAGGGCAGGGCTGCAGGGCAGCACCACAGGGCAGTGCTACAGGGCAGAGCTACAGGGCAGCACGACAGGACAGAGCTACAGGGCAGAGCTACAGCTCAGCACGGAAGTGCTTATGTTCAGGACAAACCTGTGATCCGAACCAGCCCTACACCATGGTTCTCATCCTAGAATTGAGCTGGAATTAACAGCCTCTTCCAGGACGTCACATTAGCCGATACAAAACTGCCCCCGCTGGGGGGGCCGTGCTGTCACTCCCCCCATTAGGTTACTTCACTGTGGGCCCTCAACATTCCCGGGGCTCAGCTCACAAACCGCAGCATTTCGACCTGCTCTGTCAAACCTGAGTCATCGCAAACTGACTCCCCCTGCTGGAGACGAGGGTCCTGCAGCGTTTCATTGCCGTCACCGGGGCCAGGAGAGGCATTCGGTGATCCGTCTTCCAGTCCCGCCTGCGTGTCGCGTACACACACCCACAAAGACGCGCTCCCCCTCGCTGTCAGTCACTCGCTCTAACACAAAGGTGCCGTAAGATGACTCCCAACCACAAAGATAACGATAGCAAAGAAAGTGACATAATAGAGTATCCAGTCCCTTCCATCATCTCCGTATCGTGCTGTCCCTCGTCCCAGACATGTACGGCTGTTTATCTCAATAACCCTGACGGCTTGGTGTCGAAGATCTTCGGAGGAGAGGAGGATGAGGGATGAGATGAAACACAGGTGACCAACTATCGACAGACAGAACAGCAGCTCTGATAAACCCCTGTATTGCTTGCAGAGCGTGCTCTAGGGAAACAGCAGGTCGGACATGGGAAAGCCCGGCGAACGGGGCACTTGGGTAATTGTGCCTCTGCCCATGGTGGGCGTCCCAGACCGCGACATCGATCCGGTTCCTGCTTTTCATTAGCTAACAGGCAGCTTCAAAAGACAGCGGCGCAGTGCGAGGATGTGTGTGCGCACAGGTGTAGCTGTGTATCGCCAGTGAAGGTGGGTGTGTTGAGGAGCACACACTGGAGGTGCGCCCCGCGCTCCGGCGTCGCTCAGTCTGTCTGCAGACCTGCCTAACTCTGCTCGAATCTGACTCCATCCCGAGATCAACGGCGTTGGTTTCTATGGAAACCCTGACACGTTCCCCATATCCTCTTGTTGTTCCTTTATTATTAGATGTTGTGGAGTAGACGCCTCAGAATAGATCCATCTGTCCTTATTATCCGAGTGCAAACATGCACTTGTCCGTCCTCACTGGCGCCCATTGGCCCGCCTCATTAGGCAGCCGGCCGTGCCATTGCAGCAATAACCCTCCCACCTCCCGCCGCGCCCATGTCCGTCCATGTGGCCATCGAGTGCCCGGCTCTCGCTGTTTATGTTGTGGCCCCGTCAAGGACGGTCTTGGAGAGCGACGAGAGTCAGAGAGCCTGCGATTAAGCCTCTGAACGCCAAAAGTGATGGCCGAAGCTGGTCAATGGGGATATATACAGAGGAACCTCCTGCTTGCCCCAAATAGCATCCGGTCATGGGTGCTCCCCTACCGCGCACCCTCAGCTTCCTGGGATACACTCACCTCATTTGGATGGATGGTACCCCTTCATGCTCTACAGCTCCTGAAATGTGTGACGACTGATACTCCCATTTATGTGCCAGGTCCGGCGGCGGACACTTTATTATCCATCCTCGAGAAGAGCCACAGGTACCATCAGGCACTTTTCACGGGCACACTGCTACCTGTGTGCGTTACCACGGCCTGTCCTGATCAACCTACCTCCCTCGTCCGCAAAGACAACCGACACGCGACATAAATCACTCGCCGCAGTGCAAATATGGCCTCGTTCGAAGCTCGACAGGCTCCCTTCATGACTGTCAGGGGAGGGTGAGTTGATACCATGCCATCTGGCGCAGCCCGCTGCAGGACCCACGGGCCTGAAAGGAGAACTGCTCACTGCCCACTACCCGAACCGGAGCCCTGGCACCCACAGCGCCTCCCCAGAACCCCAAGCCAAGTCACACTGAAGGTGAGGCACAGGACACCTGCTAGGGGACGAGCCCCAAGAGCGGAGAAGCCCTTTAAATAATTAAGGCGCCAGGTTCTCCATTTCCTCCAATTAAGTTATGTGGAGAGCAATGTCCGTCTCCTCTGCAGCTCAATAGTCCATTACACACAACATGAAATACGATGTTAGCGGGCGTGCCCCACACACAGGAAGCTCCCGACTGAGCGGAAGCCTAGCTCCGCCCCCAACTCTCTGTGAGACACTGTGCTTGCCCTTCGCCCTGGGCCCCTCCCGACGGAGACCCAGGTAATGGTGAGTCGCCTTCACTCCAGGCGCCGGTTGGCGTGGAGACCACTACAGCATTATAACCAAGACAAGGGGAGTGACGAGAAGGACTCTGCGGGGGAGGGGCTGCTCACCACCCACCCGCTCATGGAATCTTCCGTCCTCTCCTGCTTTGAAGAACATTATCTCCCAGGGAAATACAAACAGAGAAGGCAAAGGCCGACATGACAAAGGCGGGTGGAAACGTGAGAGGGGGCACTTTCCGGTGGAATGTGCGAACACGAGACACAGGCCTTAAAAGGCCTGCTGATAAGAGACGAGCCCAGCGACAGGAGGCATAGAAAGGCAGCCCCCGGCATCGGAAGCAGGGGGGGAGGCACTGCAGGCAGCAGGCGGTCACCTCCGTGGGGAGGGGGGGACATACCTGCAATCACTGAACATGGGGTTTCACACACTGAAGAAATCACTAGGTTTCCCAGAGATGATTCAGCTGGCTACAGTTGACGTGTATACTGTACATCACGGCACTCTGAAAAAGACGAGGACTATTCCAGATCCAAGTGGGGAGGGTGTGAGCTGAATCTTCTGCCCTGGAGAGAGTGGGCTGTAGCCTCACCCTGATCAGTAATCCTCCCAAAGAGCATTCATGCCTTCTCACTTGGCAAGGGTCACCGTCGCCAGCTGAAAGACGACTGTCCCAGGAGTGTCCCCTTTACTCACCGATTCGAAACATATCATTGGCTAATGATAAGGTTGGCCCCTCTGTGTAAATTATGGCCCCACTTATGTCTCCCATCAGACACAATCTGTCCCACATGCCCCCCGCCCAGACCAACACTGTAATCATTACACCTTTATAGCCACTGTACCCAGAACAGCTAAAGTAGTTCATGATTCCACAAGAATTTAGGCATAGATGTTCACACTCAAGTGACGTAAGACCAAAAATACAAACACAGTGACTTTCAATCCCCACCCCTAACCCCAACGATAAATATATTAGGACTCAAAAGAGGGGGCAAAAAAACATGTCCTTAAGTATGAATCAGCAGGCAGTCACTGTGTGCAGTAAAGACAGCCAGATGGAAAAAGCAGCACAAAACCAATAAAATGTTCCCAATGCGCCTATAGCGAGGCATAGGAAAGTTACCAAACCCAAACCCAATCCCAAAGCAGCTCGCAGCCCGCAGCAGCTGGAACAACTGGACGATGGCACCGTAACGTATAATCTCAGTATGAGCATGGACAGCTGGAGCCGACGGGGGCAGAGGGGGGCGGCCAGAGCAGAGAGCGGTCCGCGGTCGGTGCCGTCTGCCAGTTACTTCCCACAAACAGGCAGCTAAACGAGATGCAGCGTTATGAGCAGAGAGAGGCAGCGCGGGTGTCCGAGGGCTGACCGCGGGCAGAGAGAGGCAGCGCGGGTGTCCGAGGGCTGACCGCGGGCAGAGAGAGGCAGCGCGGGTGTCCGAGGGCTGACCGCGGCCAGCACAACACCAGGGCAGCATCCTAAATGGCAGTTGAGGGGCTTCACCATGTGGGGGCGCCACACATAATTCTACACAAGTCTGTGTCTTCTTGTGTCCTGTCCTTAGAAAACATTCCCAGGCCCATCAGTAACCTGACAGCCCTTTCGGTTCGTAGGTGTCGCCCCCCCATCTGGAGTCCTGTCCCCAAAATAAAGTCTCCATTTCGTGCTATTTTATCACACATACCTTGGGGCATATTTCTACAGTTTCAGCCTGACCAGGCAAACAAATGCAAAACAGTATCGTTGCACAAGTTACCAAATTTGTATCATTTAATATTTCTGAAGGAAATCAAAGTTGAGTAGGTTTATTCTTTAATGTCAGTTACAGGGATGTAATTTAGCATGACAGTGGCTTGTTTGTTTCATATACGATAAAACCAGAGACTGCAGGTGATATGAAGTTTACACACAGCAGCTAAACTTCAAATTACCTATTTAATACTGCATATGGTTTAAGCAAAAAACACAAAAAAACACACAAAGTAAAGGAGCAGAGAAGTGACTGACCTCGGGGGTAGAAATCGGCTGTGCGATTGGCTGGAGGCTTCTTCACGGCAGCCGAGCGATAGACGACGTGCGTTCGGCCCACCTCTTCCTCCGAGCGATCACCCCGCTCCAGGGGCTCGATGAAGAACTCCTCCTGCTCCGTTCGAATCATGCCAGCCTGGAGAAGGGAGGTGACCATGTTAGGCCCTTCAGCGTGCCTGGGGAGTCACGTCTGCTTTTAACCCGCAGTCAGGGGGCCAGGTGCTCCATGAAAGGTGAATCCCGCCCCGTCCCCGTCTCAGCGAAGCCTCGTCTGAGCTCCGACAATGACGGCGGGCTCGCAAGTGCCAGGATGCCACCCAAACAATCTCCTCTGAGTCATTAGCTGCCGGCTGTAATGACGCTCACCGCTGGGCTCGCGCACCACATGATCCACGCCGCCGGTCGGGCGTGCCCCAGCTTCCGCGTCTGCCCGTGCATCCCCACACGTGCCACTTATGCATGCATGCATGCGCGTGCCTCTGTTTACGTTTCGGTAGTATAAAGAAGAAAATATTCCCAGATAAACAAAAGCAGCACCCTGGGAATGCCCTGCAAAAACACCCCCTTTTTCACACGCTTATCAAAAACACTTCAGCTCCTACCTATTTCTGCTCTGTTCGTTTGGGGTTAGGGTTAATAAACTGTGTTAGGATAAGAGGACACGGCCTGCAGGATGGGGACTGGTGTTTATGACACGGGGAGAGGAGGCGGCCAGGCTGGGTGCTGTCCCCAGCTCCTGAACGCAGTTTAGGGCTGTTCTCCCACTTCTCACTGACTCTACAGTCAAGCGGGGGCCATCCGTGGGCACCTCAGACAGACATCTCAAGCACCAGCCGCATACCCCCCCACCCCACCCCTGCAGCGCCTTCTCTCTGGGGGATGTCTGGACAGGAGCTCAGCGGATTCATTCCCACGTCCAACCAAAGAGCAACAAAAATAAAGGGACATGACCCAGGTCCGTACGTGGAGCTACGCGGCACCAGAACCTTCTGAAGAGGGAGTCAGCACACCAGAAGTGAAGAGAGAGAGAGAGAGAGAGAGAGAGAGAGAGAGATGCAGCCTTCCTCACATGCGTCAACTGGCCTCCCATAGGTGCAGTGAGTCAGCCCCACTGTCCTGCTGCAAGTATCTGCCTAGCTAACGGTCACCTTGTCACAGTGTAGGAGCCCCCTGATTTCGAGATGCACACTCAAACATGCGGTGCCCCTGCACTCCCACCCCCCACAATACTGGCATCATCAGGACTGTATCTGAGTCTGCCAGTGATTCTGCTGGTCTGCTTCCTGGTCTGCTTTTGATGTTTAAGGGAGTAGGGTTATTGCCCCCCGGTTGCCGCCCTGTGTATTTTTTTTTTATATGACCCCCCCCAAGCCCCGGTCTGCTCCCAGCATGCCCTGCACCGTCAGTCAGATGACCCCTGCAGGATGTCTGTCACCTCTGCTGCCATGACTCCGGGCGGGAGCTCGGGGAGGGCGTAAATAAAAATGTCAGCACGAGAGCAGCCGCTAACACGCCCTGTCATGCGATTCTGCTGCTCCGCTGCGGGCACACGGGCACACGGGCACACGGGCGCCACGCTCCCCAATTCCATCTCTCTGCTTAGAAGATGCAGAATTACCACATCCCAGACTTGGTGGCTCGGGACTAGGGGATTCTGGGTAAAAAAAGGACCTGCTGTGCTGATCAGCGCTGGAATGGCATTCAGCCTAGGGCATCTCCAGGATAGGCACCAGGGATCACTGCTGCCCCCTGCTGGTTAAGTGGTATGGAAGACACACACCTACTTTTATTCAGGCATTCAATGAGGGAGTGAGAGGTGAAGCAGGGGGGCAGCAGTCCCCCTCCTTTAAATCTGCCCCTCTGACACTAACCCCTTAACTGTGAGAGTTAAGTTAGCCCCTGGGGACGCCATCGGGGGGGGGGGGGGGGTCAGCCCACAGCCTGGGACACAGCCAGACTCAGCGGCAGCCCGACGGGGCACAGAGGGGGAATGACAGCGTGGGCGTGGCCAGGCTCAGCGTCTGCAGCCCACAAGGCCAAAGGTCCTGTGTCTAGAGATGGGGGTAACGGTCTTGGGGAGGGGGGGGAAGTGTGGGAGGGTGGCACTTCCAGGCTCCGGGAAGCAGCCGGGTCGATGGAAAGAGGGGGGGCTATCCGTCTCTGCACAAGCTTCCGCTTTTAAAGGCATCCGATGAATAAAACATCCAAGACCCGGCCTGAGACCGAGCAGCCAGTGCCACTGCCGCCCCACTGGAATTACTGGGGAAATGGGGTTAGTGGGAGATGGCTGGGGAAGCCGAAATACACAGGAGGGATCTGCTATTGTACCTTTGAGGGAGGTACTTACCTGAATTAGAAAACACAAAAGGGCTGAGGGTAAAATGACGAGCTGGTTAGGGAGTGAAAGATAAGTAGGTACAAGAGGAACTCCTGTAAATGTTTGAGGATCAGATTAAATTTTTGGTCCTTATGCTATGCTTCAAACAGTCTGTTGAGAGGGAAGCATAAGCCCCAGTGCCTTCATTCCCAGCCGCTCCCTTCATTCCCAGCTGCTCCCTTCATTACCAGCCGCCATAAAGCCACTGTCTCCTCCAGCCGCCATTCACACAGCGGCCGCAGAACATGGCATGCAGGCCGCAGAGTGCCGCCCGCTGCCAGCTGCTCTGAAGCAACCCCAGCATGCCCCCCCCCCCCCAGCACGCACACCCCCGCCTCCCGGCCTGCTGCTGTTTCTGACCTCTGGTGGGCTGTGACCTCGATCTCCGCTGCCCGCCTGCAGTCTCAGGCCGAGGGCTGAGAGAGAAGCAGGACTTCGAGTTCAGATGGGCTTGGGGGGGGGGGGCTACAAGGAGCCGGTGCTCACCTTACGCGATCCTGACCGAGCCATTATGACGTTAAGTCCCTACTGCCCCTGAACAGGGATATTTATACCACTGGTATTAATTAAACATAATTCAGTAACAGTATAAGCTGGTGGCTAAAACTGCGCATTATGCAGTGACGTGGGGGGGCTCCGGATCCCTGCTGCTTCATGTTTAAATGCAGACGCTGAAGGGCTCTGACGCCAGTAGAGCGTCACGGGGGGGTCAGCATCCGGAAACGTCCTTGACTGCGAGCGGCCGGTGTGTTTAATGCGATGTGCGACGTGCCCCCATCTCTGCCGATAATAATTAAAAAACATGGGGGCAGACGGGAGTAGCTACATATCTGTTTCTGCCTTGGGGGGGCACAATGGTCTCCCAGGAGTGCCTGGCTATGGGAGGAGTCAGCACACGCTGACCATGCAGGTGTGAGTGGGTGGGGGGGGGGAGGGGGGGCAAATGCACCAGACAAGGGCGCAAATATCAGACAGGGGGACAAACTCATTAAAAGGTGACATCACACAAACTACAGTGCATGGTCGCAATGGGAAACCAAAGAGCTCAACATCTTGGCGCAGGGCAGAATGTCAGAGTGTGTGTGTTTCTGTCTGTGTACGTGGGGGTGGGGGGGGGGGGGGATCACAATGTAGGCTGTCTGAAATTAGGGGGTTGGTTGTGTGTGTGATGAAATGTCCTCAGAATGACAGTAATAAAACAGACAGTACTGGGACATCGCCACAAAACAAATAACTTTTACAAGTCCAGCTGCTATGAGTGAAAGTTATGTGGGATGGGGCTGGGATTCATAAAAATGAGAACTGTGAACGTGTGAGTCACACTGGGGTTAGTGCGTCTGGGCGGGTCATGCCCAGGTCAGTGTGTGTGTGTGTGTGTGTGTGTGTGTTTTTGGATCATGCCCAGGTCAGTGTGTGTGTGTGTGTGTGTGTTTTTGGGTCATGCCCAGGTCAGTGTGTGTGTGTGTTTTTGGGTCATGCCCAGGTCAGTGTGTGTGTGTGTTTTTGGGTCATGCCCAGGTCAGTGTGTGTGTGTGTGTGTGTGTGTGTGTGTGTGTGTTTTTGGGTCATGCCCTGATGCATCCCAGTGACTGTCTCAAACTGAGATACGCCATTTCCCCAACAAGCCCCACATAAAGACCCCACATTCCCTTACAGACAGATACACTCCTATCCACACCACTTTAAAGCAGAGTCAGGTCAGCGAGGTCTCCCTGATCCGTGGCCCAGTTGGGTTCCACTGTTCCGCTGGGTTCCGGTCCCTCCCTTTCAGGTCTCGCACGTTCTGAGTGATTGCTGAAGTGGATGCCTGCGATTTCACTGCGAACATATTTTATTTCTCTAAGCCCAATCCGGGCAGCAGATGTCCTGTGATTTGTTCCCTAAGAGACTTAGTACCTCAATCCCGTATCCATCCCAGCGGATGAGGGGGAACGTCCCCGAGGGACCATCGGGCGCCCCTCCCCCACCCTTAACTGCAGCAGACCACACAGTTATTATCCGACAGCCGAACACCGGCCATTTGAGTAGGAGCCATGCTTTTTGCTATTGACTTCCTGTGTAATTGGCAGGTTTCAGCACGGGAGGGTCCATTAGGTGTGTGTGACTGAAGTGGGGGACTTCAGCTCAGAGAGGCAGCGGCATGAGGGGGGAGACGGTGCCTGACGGATGCATGCAGGCACGCTGGCCTCTCACCACGCGCAGATCAGATGGGCTCCAATGCCGAGGCCACATCTGGAGATAGGCGCCCCTCCGCTGGCGGTCCTCCACCATCTGCCAGATGTTCTGAGCCAGGGTTGCGCGGGGGGGCAAGGGCCAGATGCATGACAGGTGTGCTGAACGTTTCTGGGCGAATAACATGTTATTGTGAGGAGTTGTTTTCATCTTGATTAATGCTGCAGCCCTCCCTTCCTCTTTCTGTATCTCCCATCCTCTTTCTCCCTCTCTCTTTCTTCCTTTACCTTCTCTGCCTCTCAGATCACTAGTATCACTTCTTTAACAGTGATACATGGCGTGGAAAGTTCCGGACTCAACTCCAGCCAGGACATCAGGCCAAAGCACTGAAAGTACCCTGGCTGGCGGGGGCCAGGGAAGCACATGATGATGGAGGGGCCAGGAACCGGGACCCATGTGATCAGTGGTGCTGTGACCCACCTCCCAATGTGACCCCACCTGCCCCGAAAAAGCCCAGCATGAGGATCTGTGTGAAGCAAGAGGGGGTCGTTCTCAGTCTAAAGTTTGTTTATTTGTTATAGGGAATA